AACTAAAATATATATATATATATACAGATATAAACTAAAAAAACTATATATATACACACTTTATATATACCTACCATTAGGTGTATCTAGATACATCTATAAGTGTATCTACATACACATATTAATAAGTGCATGTGTAGTGGTTAAGACGGTTTGTTCACCTGCCTCTTCTGCCGTCCCTTCTGCCACCAGGAGGCTGAAATTTAAATTGAGGCAAGTCTTTGCCTCCATATTTACCACATATACTAAAAGTCCGATTTGATTTAGGCCCAGGTTGGCTTCGGCACCATATAAGAAAATCACTCCTTGACTAACCTATATTAAGTAAAAGCAAAACTTTAATAAAATAATCAAAAAATGAAAATAAAGAAAAAACTGTTAAAAAATTACTTTCGAGGTTTTCTTCAGAATTGTTGGCACCAGGTGTCAGAGATGTTGACAATGAAGTTGGTAAATCTGATAAAAAGTTAGTAACTTTAGTAAAATTACTAAAATTTCATATTAACTTGTCTATACATCTATTTAAAAAAACAAATAAAGTAAGAAACTAATAAAATACCGCAACTAATTTGTTCTGCAGTAGCTAAATTAAAAAAATTTTTTTTTGGTTTTTTAAAAACATATTTTTAAAATAGTTAAAATTCTACCAAGTACTTCTTTTCTTTTAGCTAAAAACAAATGTTCCTATTTTAAATTATTTTTATTTAGTGTAATGCAAGAAAACACAAATTTATAATTTAATAAAAATATATTTACCAAGTTCATCCCTTTTTGTCAGTTAAAAAATATACACTTTAATGAAACATTACAGCATGTCACAGCACAGTAAAGCCGAGTTAGCTTTGCAAGCTTTAACAGTTTGCAAAATATTTTTTACAACACAAATACCACCAACATGATCAAAAGTTGCATGCTTAGCTGATGCATAAAATACTTAATCCACGGACCAATAAGATGTTTGCATTTGCAAAATGATGCTCTTAAAACTGTTTTTACACTTTACTGTATCTATGGTGAGACCTACCTATGTTACTTTACTTTACTGTTCCTATGGTGAGAAAGTATTTAAACTCATTATAATGCTTCATAAAAATGAAACAACCACAAAAAAGAATATGAGAACGGTTTCCACGATACTTTGGAATGATACTTTGTGATATTTTGTTGCTGTCTAAAAAATTTACAAAACCAATTGGATTACCTTTAACCTCCTTAAACTTTATTTTATTCATAGGTAGAACAATTTTGGAGGCAATAAAGTAATTTCTAAATAATTGGCAACTTTTTAAAGTTTCATTTTCAAGAAACTTTAACGCTGAGCGACATAAAGAAACTATTGTGTCTAAAGGATGTAAATAGCAGTTCAACTCATTCAAATTCTTTCTCCAGGTTGCACAAACTTTGCTTATTGTAAGATGGTTAACTGCAACTCTGTCTGACATTGTGTTAGATATATTTGAAATGATTGAGCTATGACACTCATTAAAGCTGCACAAGTAAAAATCTGAATAAACAAATGCTATATCATCAATGAAATTGCATATATGATTTTCATAATCATCAGCTGTCCCTCCAGGTATTTGATCCAGGGCAATGACCCTACATTTATCTTTAGTCAATATGTCAAGTGAACGCTATTAATGTGAACACCTTTTTGTGTTGTTGCGTCAAATCCTAAAGTTAAATAATTTTTTTGAATAACCCATTCTGCTAATTGCAACTCTGATATAATGCCTAGCTCAAATGCCATTTGCTCAAAAGTACTGCGATGGGGAATATCAGTAAAAGTGATACCAACATATTCCCCTATTTTCTTTATCAGCAATGGAATGTTACCTATGGGACATTACATAATAACATGTTATAAACCATCATTCTCTTATGTAGTAAATATGTGTTTTATCTTCTGAAATTTTTAAACTTGTAATTTCATCCTTCTCCATAACAAGCATATCATTTTCCAAGCAAGAAATCACTCTGTTATTTGCTTTAATATCAGCATTATATTTAAGTTTTATTTCATTTATTTTTAATGCTTTTTTGTAACCTACAAACTACGAATACACTCAGTGTAGTATTTTAATTTAATTTTTTCCCTTATTTTTACCCATAAAGCTTTGATAATTTCTTCTTTTCTTTAAATATTTTTCCTTAAAACCCTTATTTTATAATGCATGCTCTTTAACTTAGTTTTAACTAAAGCTATTTGCTCCTGCATTCTCTGGAAGAGCTAACTGAGATGGCAAATAAGATAACCGAAATTTGATTTTTTTTTCCTTGGGAGTAAAATTTTCTCTAGAAACATGCTTATTTAATGCCTTCGTGCAATAAACTGCAGATGTTGAAGGTTCACTAGTCAATGATGATGAGACTACTAAAGAATATGTAAAAGTGTAGACTAAACTATTTTGAGCAGTTTGCAATGAATGTGCTGTTAAAGATGAGAAGTAAACATTAAAAGGCTCATTACAAAATTCAATAAAATATTTAGAGTCCACACACCTTGAAATGTTTTTTTGCCCAAACTTGTAATTTTTTTACAAGATTGTCTGTGTTTTACTAGTTATGAGATTATATTGTTCTACAACTAATGGAGCAGTTTTTGAAATGTGTCACCATTGCTTATAAATATAAAAAGTATATGCCAATTTCTACAAATTGTTTAGCTATCTGTTGTGCTGTCAATGTTTATTTGTGAAGGTAAAAATAGAAGTTAAATTCTTTTTAGTTTCACCATATAAAAACAATTTTTTTGGGTCCCATGACAACTACAAAAAAATTTTAATAAATAAAAACATGGAGTTAAAATAAAAAAACAAAAACTTACTCTAAAAAAATTAACCATAGATATAAGTCTATCATTGAATTTTTAAAGACATTGAGTAATTTATAATTTAATAAATAATTTAGATAACTTATATAAATACAGATATATATTTTATATCTGTATTTATAAGTAGATATATTATAAATACAGATATACAAAATAATCAATTTACTAACACAAAAAAAGTTTTTCCTACTACATTTAACAAAAATCAAAGTATTACCATAAACTATTTCTCCATAATTTTAAATTTAAATAAATAAAATAAGTTTCTTATTAATTTAAATCAATTAAATTATGGACAAATGTAAATAGCATTTACCTCATTTAAAATGCTATTGAAACTAAACTTAGGTATTTAGTTCTTAGTAAGATAAGGAAACACCTTTTCAAACACCTAACTTTCACTACATTTCAGATAATATTTCTGATGTTTTCAATTATTGACAGTACAATTAACAACAAAAAACAAAAACTGTATTTTTTGTATTACTGGATGACAATAATTTAATTAGTGAACAATTTAAATTTTGTCTCATAAGTTATGTACATATTTACTTATCTAACAAATGTTATAACAAAAAAACAAGTGCCACCCTCACCCCCCGGTTTTGTTTGGGATTGGATTTGTCGAAAATATATATTCAAGTAGAGCACATTAGAAGGCTACTTATATATCCAAATTTTTGGATGAAATTTGGCTGGTGGGAGGAAAAAGAATTATAAACGGTTGCAAATAGTTTAAAAAAATGAACCGACATACTTTGGGTTTAAAGCTTGATGTTTAATCAACAACTAAGTTTTTAACAACAGTAAACGTTAGATACTTAAAAAAAAAAAATACTCACACATAAAAAAGTTCAGCTATTCTACTTTTTAAATAATATATATGTTGATATCAAATTCTAAAAAATAAGACCACTAGTCACGATAGCATATCACTAACGCAAAAAAAACGTGGCACAGAATTTGGCCGAAAAAAACATTTCCGTAAAGCTGAAATTACGCGTACCTATTGATAAGGCATACATATTTCAGTAACATTATATTTAATATAATTTTTAATATTATTACAAATAATATTTGAACTTGAAACTAAATAAAACTAAACAAAACTCTTTAAACTTGGTAGACGTTTGAAATTTTAGTATGAGGTGTAATGGCTTACTCTTGGATAATACTCTATGAAGTTTTATAAAGTTTTATAAAGTGTTTGTTAAATTTTTTTTTTAGGAGAAAAAAGTACGCCTATTTTATTATCAGTGACATAGACGTTTTTTAATTTCAACCAAGAAGCGATGATTTAGATGATTGTTTACGTACAACTGCAGATCCTATCCTAAGTACCAGCACAAACTTTGTTGGATGTCAATCCTAATTGCCTCGATATCGGGCTGTACACAAACACCAACTGTCATACTGATGAGGAACTTTGTCTGAAACTGCTGGAGGGGAATGTTGGACTCCTGGTCAAACACATGATTTCAAGAAAGATGCAAACCCTGAAGCTAAACGTCTCTTCAGATTGGAATGGCTCCTGACATATCTGTGGTTAGAATATTCAGCCAGTGCAAGAAGACCTTTTTTTTTCAGTTTGTGTCTTATTTCGATCTCCAGTTCAACGTGGCCTGCAACAATTTATTTGTTACCCGTGTTTTAAATTTTACAAATTTTATAAAGATGCACAATTTCACGCCAAGAACTAATGGTACATCAATGCAATACCTTCTTCCATCCAGTTTCAGAATATAATGAAACAACAACAACTCTGTATTCATGAAATTCTGGATTCAGCATACCACAAAAAAATTAAAGAAAATTGAGACAAGCTTCGGTCAATTACTTCAACAGTTTTATTTATAGCTCAGCATGAGCTTCCCTTTCGGGATAAAATGATCAAGGTTCTATCTTTACAGATATGTTGCATTTTCGAATTGAATCAGGTGATCATAAATAATAATATTAGTATTATTAGAATGCTAATATTATAATAATAAAAAAAAAGCAAAAAAAAAAACTTTTACCTGTTTTATTATTGTTAGTGTTATTGATTTTTGAAAAAGCAATAACACTAAAAATAATAAAAAAAACTCTTATATAGAATGATATCAATACAGAGAACATCTGCCATAACATGTTATTTAAGATACAAAGGAATAACAATGCCAAAATGACTTATAAATTCCTTGATTTTTTTAATGAAGACAGCTCTACTTCCTTTTTTTAGATACGTTGTCTTGATTTTAGAGAGAAATTAATTACATGATTTAATGGATATTTCTGCCTTCATAGAGTATTATCCAAGAGTAAGCCATTACACCTCATACTAAAATTTTTTCAAAATAGAGAAGACTGTTATATTCTTAAGAACTATATATTTGAACTAAATAATTAACATCAATTACGTCATTATAGTAATACGGTTAAATGAACTTAAGTTATTCTAATTATATTTAATTGATGTGCTATAAAGTCCGTTTTGTAGATCTTGAATATTGTTTGACTTATTTTTTATAAAAGCTGAAAATATTTAGTATAGACATATTTATTACGGTTTCACAAGATAATTATATGATTTAATAGATTGGTAGTTAGTAAAATTAATGCCATACTTAATTGTTTGCTTTAAACGTATGACAAGGTTGTTACACGACGGTGCTAATCTGAGAATATTGCAATTACTTTTATTAAGAATTTTATAATAACTATCAAAGCTTATTGGTTAATTATTAAGCAAACTGACCTGTATAAATGTGCAATTCTATTGGAATATTAGATCTTTTAGCTTCATAATTTTTGAAATATTGAAGATTGGAAATGAGCTATTTTAAGTGATTTTTTTTGTGAAGGTTTTCTATGATCTATGGATACTTGGAATGGTTTTGCCTCATCTGACAACCATATTGCCTATCTGACAACCATAAAGTATATGCAAGTTAAATTTAGCATACCATATATTAATGAGAGTTTTTCATGAAGTTGTACAGACTGTGATTTAAATGAAATTATTTCACTTTTTTAAGCATTTAAGGATATTTTATTGAATCTAAACCATTGAACCAACCAGGCCGATTCATAGCTAAGGTGTTGATTTATTTTTTTAAGTGATGTTTCAGTTATTAGGACATTAATGTCATCACCAAATTAATATGTTTTTTTAGAACTTACTGCATGTGTTTAAGTTATTAATGTAGAGAAGAAAAAGGAGAGGGCCAAGAATGTAACCTTGGGAAACACCTACAGATACTGATTTGGTATTAGAAGAGATTTCGGAAATTGTGAAAAATTGAGAATGGTTCAAAAATATGATTTATACTTTTAGGGAGCAAATCCTTTGATACTATAGTGATGTAACTTTGATAACAGAATTCCATTATTCACAGTATCAAATGTCTTCTGTAAGTCAAACCCCAAAATAAATAAAGAAGAAGCCTCGCGTATAGTTTCATTTATGTCTATGAGTGCTTGTTTAGTACAATGTTTTTTGTGAAGTCCAAACTGAAGCCTATGTAGATGATTGTGTTGGCTTAAAATAAATTTTAACTTCTTATACATAAAATTTTCCAGCAATTTACTGATATTGGATAGTAGTGATAATGGTCACAAGTTAAGATGATTTTTGTTTGAGCCTTGATGATCGATTCAGAAAAATAATTGTTAAATAACTAAGCAATTTGTTTTTTGTCAGTAGTAGTTGGATTATTTACAAGTAAACTTTCTACAGTTTTATTATTATTATATTTATTATTTGATTTTATATTTATTATATTTTTTATTCCAATACAAGTTTTTTTGAGGTAATTAACGTTTTCATTAAAGTAATTAGAGTAATATGTGGTATTTTTTTTTTTTTTGAGATGCAAGAGGCTGATCTTCTTTATGTAATGTTTGAATTGGTTGAAGAGTTGTAAGAGCTCCTGTTTACCTTTGATGTAGTTTTTATGAAGTTTATTATTTATATTTATGGATTTAATAATGCCAGCAGATATCCATGGTTTTTAGAAGGCATAATAGTAGTTTTTTGACTACTTTTGTTACAGGTTCCCAATCTTTTGTTGTTAGATTATCAAGAATCACACTTAACACATTTTAAAGGAGCAATATTATGGTTTGTTGGGAATATATTTATTGGTTTTACATAGCAAGGCAAAAAAGTGGTTGATTGGAGTTGATCAGCAAAAGATACTGTTAGATTGCCTGATTTTAGATTTGTAGGGTAGAAGTTTACAAAAGTATTATCAATGAGTGTTTTAGATTGTATAGTGATTCTTTATGGTATGTTAATATGCGGATAGAGAGAGTTAAAATACATAGAGTTTAGAAAGGCTCATACCTCATTAGATAGGTAGTAGTTTAAGAGTTTGATATTAATTTCTTCTAAAGGAACAATTTTTTTATTTTTTACTTATAGTTTGTCTATTGAATTTGTTGTAAGTAGAGAAGGTGACCAACAATTTTTTACTTAACTATTTTTTGTTAAAAAAAAATACACTTTGCAAGTATTTCATAGGTGAAAAAAAAGAAGAAGAAAAACGATAAAAACTTTATTTACTTTTAAAAACATAATTTCTTTGGAGTGGATTTTTTGTGCTAAATGAGGATGATCATTTAACAATATAGCCACAACCAAATAACATTTTGCATATTAAATTTGGCTGTTAAGATGAAAAAAAAAATGTTTTTACAAAACGTTGCAACTTCTCACTGCTCCAATAATCATTCTTTAGTGAAAATACCTTTTCAACAGCAGCATTAGTGCCTGGACAACATATAAAAGATTCTATTAAAATTTTTAAATTTTCATGTGAGATTTGTTCTTGATAACTTTCTCTTTAAAGAAATTCAAAGAGTAAATTTATATTTAAGTGAAAAAAAATTGAAGAAATTAAATAATGAGAAAATAGAACTTGACAAAAGATGGGTAAAAATCTTTCGACATTTTAGAGTTTAATAACAGAATCTTTTACTTTCTTTATTACGAGTTCAACTGCTGAAGAAACTTCTTTCCAAAAATATTTTAGAATTAAAAATAAGTATAAAATTATACAAATGAGTACTTTCAGAGTACAGGATTTGAAAAGAGTATGGTTTGTAAAAAAAGAGTACAAAAAACAGTAATTGAGTATAGTTGATCACCTTAAAGTAGATGGCCTTAAATTCAGTGATGCACAAACAAGGGTGACAATAGATGCATTCAATAATTATATTTTTTCAGATGACAGAATTATTTAAATAAAGGTTGACACTTATTCTTTTGATTTGTTCATTTGGAGATCAGTTCTCAACCTCTTTTTTGATTTGTTCATTTGAAGATCAGTTCTCAACCTCTTTTTTGATTTGTTCATTTGAATATCAGTTCTCAACCTCTTTTTTGATTTGTTCATTTGAAGATCAGTTCTCAACCTCTTTTTTGGTTTGTTCATTTGAAGATCAGTTCTCAACCTCTTTTTTGATTTGTTCATTTGAAGATCTGTTCTCAACCTCTTTTTTGATTTGATCTAATTTTATAAAAATATTTCTTAAAAAATTCTTCTTTTTATCCTTTCAAGCCAGCCTCATAATTTTGTAAAATTATCTAACTTACAAAACATGGCTTTAAAAATAATATACTTAAATAATATTGTTGTAATTCTGACATCATTAACTTTCTATCAAAAGCAATTTTATTTGTTCATTTGAATAATGATCTGTTAGTCAGGAATCATAAAGAAGTAAACCTCCCTTCTTCATTATCTAACTTTTTCACCTCTAAAAATCACGAGCCAATGCATAAAATTGTGGAACCATTTACCTCTTCATCTTCAATCAATCAAATATATTTTAAAATTTTAAAATTGGTTTTTTACCTATTTGTTAAAATATATGTATATAGGATTTTAGGCATATTGTAGATTAATAATGTTACTACTATTGTTTTTATTATTATTGTTATCATTAATATTATTATTATTGTCATTATTATTGTTGTTGTTGTTGTTGATGTT